GATTACGACAAACATTTATCGGGAATCAACTCTAAATTTCCCAAACAATCATTAGTAGGTGCGGTTTCACTGCCGGAGAAAAAAGAAACTAGCAGTCACTTAATTGCCAAAACATCTGAAGTTATTGAGACTCCGGTCAAGAGTGCACCAAATCCCGTTTTCTTTTTCGGCAATTCCATACCAAAACCCACACCTATATCTTCTGGCTCTTCGACTGATTCTACAGATAAGAAACCTATATTTTCATTTGGGTTGCCGCCTATCACGACAACTAGTACTAATTTCACTCAGTCGCTCTTTCAGTTTCCCAGCGTCTCTAGTTTCTCACAAAAACCTGTGAATCTCGATCCTAAACAGAACACTAGTAATCAACAAGGGGATGATGACGGTATGCTACCTTTTCAAACTAAATCCTCTTTTAGACGAGGAATATATTCCTCCCAAACCAGAGGTTAAAGATTTCAAAGAAGATGGGTCAGTTTTCACTACAAGGTTCGTTTCTCTTTAACATTCAATTGAGTGTCCGTACGATTTATGTGTATTTATTTATTATTTGAACACAAATATTGGTACAAAAAGGCACTGAAATACGTATGCGCCATACAAGTCACTTAGTTTGTGTGTGGACTGTGTTACTGCTCCGGGTGCCCAAGTTGAAGCAAGTGGATTTTTTAGGGGGCCACACCCGAAGTCTTCGACTTAAAGGTCTGATCCACAAAGCGGTGGAGCAACGTCAGGAGATGGAGTCCCATGGTAGCTGGTGACCAACGATTGATTCATACGCCATTTGTTCTCCCAGGGTCCTGGAGCTCATGTGCATCATTGGTTTATGATCGGGGCTCTCTAACTCCATCTGCGTCCACCGACCCTGTTAAAGCGCCGGACATTCGCTTTTTGTCTTGTCAATTTCGTAAATAACACCCCCACCACGAGACGGTGAGTAGGACTCTAGAATAAAGCATGAAGTTATCTTGAGTAGGTAGGGATGGCCTATTATCACAGTCTGTATTATTATTGAGATTCAGTCTAAACCTAAAAATATACAAAGATGCTAGTGACATCTACTAAATGATCCTGCTTTCTCAGAATTTGATGGGAGTTTCGAGTATCCAAAATAACTGGTCCATGCATTAATGTCCTTACTATATCCTACCTGTTAATCGGTCTTCGTAAAATCAAACTGCCGAAACATGACATAGGAACTGTTCCAATTATTTGTTGTGAATATGAAATTCTTTTAAAATAGTAGAAAAAGGTCAAATTTATATATTTAATCCTTGTAGTGACTAAAGGGCTTACGCCCTAAGTTTTTTCATCGTGTCTTATTCGGACTCATGTAGTTGCTTCATTCCTAACATAATCAGATTTGTGCAGTAAGGACAGAAGACCCATGGCCTATGCTATTCGTTTTCTAGTATGCTTCTGTGTTAATTAAAGGTGAAGACACCACTCCTTCGGGTAATAGGTTCCAAGAATTAATGACTCGGTACGAAAACATGTTTGCCATGAGTACTTTGTTCGTTCTTGGCTTTTCTACTCGCTTGCTATGTCCTCTGAGTTAATAGGAAGAAAAAGAAAACACATCGGGTCCAAAACCGTTTCTTAGTATTTTATACATCAAAGTCACATATGGATAATAATTGTGTTAATGTCATTTTGATCATGATTCTATGAATTATAGTCTATTAGTAACCCTTATATTCGTATATTCTCCTTACATATTCATAGGTGTAAATTATTCTACAAAGCGGATAGTGAGTGGAAAGAGCGTGGACTTGGAAATTTATTCATCAAACCAACGACAAACGATAAATTTCAATTACTCATCCGAGCTGATACTAATCTCGGTAAGGTGCATAGAGATTTAAAATAATGCAGATGCATTACTGTATTTCACCCCAGGATTGATAGTAGACTTTCCAATTAAAATTTATGCAATACTTCAGGTCCAATTCAATCAGTAATCTAGATTCGAAGAGTGCTCCTATTAAGACTTTAGTATCGTTAACTCCAAGTACTTTTACGTTTTATCATACGTTCTTGCACCATGCTAATAATTTCGTTACTTCGACTTCATTATCGTAAACAAAACTACTCATATGCTCTTCTTTTTCCCTGTCCCATTAATTAGAGTGAAATACCAGTTTTTTAGATGAAGCTATTTGATGTTGACCCAATGTAATCAGTCAAAATATATGAAATTTGTCGGTTATGTATCAATCAAAAGCGATTAGAATAATTAAACTGAGTATCTTTCGTTCACCCGAAATATGGCAAGAATGTATTAAAATCCCATGAACGATGTTCGCAGTGAAAAATTTACTACAATATAATTTCAACCTAATTGATTTGATTCTCATAAGTTTTAATTTGAGATCGGATATTTCCAACTATTAATTAGTTTTTTTTACCCCCAAAATTCTGATTTTCTAGGCAATATATTGCTAAATATACTGGTTACAAAAGATGTGCCTATTAAACAACAGAAAAATAACTTGACTTTAGTTTGTATCCCTTCACCACCTTTACCATCGCAGGCTAAATCGTCCCTTACCAACGAAGAAGATAATGGGCAACCAAAACCAGTTCCAATGTTGATACGTGTGAAAACTGAAGAGGGAGCTACAGAGTTACTAAGTCAAATGGATTTGCACAGGGGTGTCTCAACGAAGTCATAATATTGAGATGAGTTTTTCCCATCGTTTCTGTCTACCTCTTATTGACTGAAAATTATGTTTCGTGTTTTGAAGATTACATTCAATTTTTTTTTCCGAAAAAAGATCGTTTTGAAAGTAACTTTTGTTTTTATGTGAACTACATTGTAAAAAAATTGTTGTGGACTTTTTTGATGAAATAAGGGTTCTGAGTGTTACTAGTTTTCTCTTATCCCAATACTTTTACCATACGTTACGTCCACCCGACAGCTACTCGGAAAGGTTATCTAAGTTCGGAAAATTTGTGTATAATGGGTATGTGGTAGGAAAACTTGAATTACCATAATTAACAGTAAATAACTGGAATGGTGAACGTTCTTGATCCTGTGGATACGCGTAAGTGATTAGGTGCCAAACTTAATCGGGTTAGGAAACATCATCTTTGTTACACTGAACACACATTTCGTACGAATAACATTTAATTTCCCGTCCAAAACAATAGAATTAGCCCTTGGCATTGTACATGCTGAAGTGGTACTCGTCCTATCTATTACTATTCATTTAGACACAAATACTAGTAAAACGGGCACCAATAATATATATTCACTAAGCAATAACGATGAGGTTGTGAAGAGGTAGTGAAAGGAAGATATGGTAGGAAAAATGGATAGAAATTAGTGTGTAAGGAAATAATAATAATAATAATGAAAGAAGCAATCCAGTTAAGAAAAGTACAAACAGAAACGATTCTTTCAATTCCCCCTCATTCATATGAAGAAAACTGAAGTTACACCAGGACCGCCACCGTCTTAAATTCTGAACCACTGTGTTGCACTACCTCTAGCACCAGGGAGTTGTAAGGGACCAACAGATGCCAGTCTTATACATCTTTCCTTCATATCACGACAGTATGTCATGCACTGATCGTCTTTTCGCTTTTTCCAACCAGTCCCGGCGTCGGCAAATAATGCACGACGTGGAATCCGCTGGATCGATATTCGAAGTATATATACAAGCCACTGAGGTCAGTTTTTAAAAAAGATAAATTGTAGTCACTCCAAAAGTTGAAGTTTCTGGCATGCTTCCACTTCGTTAGGTTAATCAGACTACACTGACCGGGGAGGACAGAACAGTCTGATCGACGTCGCCGAAGTAGCAGATCATTTGGACTGCTCTCCGAAGAACAATGCCCATCGTTCAAGATTGGCTTCCCATCAACTTCACTCACACCAGAATTCTCGCTGCCAGTGGCTCGGATGAGGTGAGAGAAATGTGGCTGCTGCTTCCAACTCACTGGCACACCCCGACCACCAGGATTTTCGGTCATTACGCAAGATTTTCACAATTTCATAGCGTAAAATCTTCGTCTATGGTCAAACTCGCCAATTCGCTTACATCAGTCCGTTTAGGATAACGACTTAGTTGGCCACTAAGACAAAAGATAAGATTAGCGCACACAAGGGCATGATCAGATCTCCTGGAAGAAGATCAATTCCTAGAAATGCAGTCGACGAGCAAGCTATTCCTAGCAGTAGGTCTATGATGAAATTAAACAGAAATGAAGATAGTAGACGATCATCTCCAATTGTTTTCGGTGGGTAATTGCCTCACAGCTGACACGGTTGAACTCCGAGGATTCCCTTTGAAAGCTAGTCACTAGTGAGAACATAATAATTTTCAGTTTGGGGTTGTCTGACATTGATCGGTTTTTAACGATTTTAACGAAATCCAACAATGTACACAACCACAAACTGAGAATATTAGCAGTAAAGTTGTATAAAATTAACTAATTTTTGTTTTTCCATTTCAAATTTCCGATATACTACTTGGGTTGTATCTTCTGATTATTGACACTGTGGTATTTATGATCTTGATCAAACATTCAACATCGAACAAGAAGTGGTCAATTTCTAAATGATAACGAACAGTTTTGTGTAATGGGTAAAGAATAACACAGAATTGCGAAGATATCACTTCATATATAGAAATGTCAAAAATTTCACATATTATTCACAAAATAATTACATTGAATAATACAGATCAAAGATTCTCTACAAGTAAGATCGGATATGAAGGATAAATCTACTTAACACATTAGATACTTTTTATTCAATTGCTTCTCTTCTGAATTTCTATTTTGTACCTTTATGACTTTCGTCCGGAGAAATTTGTAAATCAGAATAAACAGGAAATGAAGATTTACTATGAATGTTAGACGATTCCACTTTATCAGTATGTAACAATCCTTGTTTAATCATTTCTTGACGTTCTTCATTATATTTTACCTGACAAAAACAAACAAACACATGATGTAGATTGTCATTATTATTATTCATTTAAACAATTTCTACTATATTTTTCTTCGTTATGTTGGATAAATTATTAGCGAAGTTTTTACTGTGTATCTTGATAACATAATCAATCAATCTAAGAATCATTATTGCCAGCGAAGTGAATACCTTTGAACATCAGCCACAGGATTACATAGGTATAAGTAACATTCGGTGGAGTTTTAGTGGTGTTATATGTTTCCATAAACCTTTGACGGTATCAAATATTAAAAAAAGAAATAATTATTGGTTGATATATACGCTTACCCAAGTACTTTTGTTAAGCATACTTATAGTTGTTGGTTCTTCAGCTCAGGAACTAATGGGACAGCAAGATGTAGTGCTTACTAAAATATCGCAAGCTGGTTTTCGGTTACAAAAAAGAAAATGTCAATTCTAAGTTTAATTTGGTTATTTACTCTCTGAAGAAGTGACTTACACTAAGTCACGAAACGTCAGAAAATCTCATTTTTCTACTCATTGGGATATTAGAAATATATTACTTTTATTTATTACATTACTTGTTTATGATTTCCAAATTTTCTATAAATCAATAGAAAATCTTGGACAAACTGATGTTTTATCTCGACTAATTGTCAATCAGCAGCAAGAAAGTGAAGATACTATTATTTCAACGAGAAGAGGATATTCACCAAATAATACAAGTTGTTATAAGAGCAACACTACTATCCGCCGAAGATATTAAATGCTGTACTCAAGAAGACAACGAGCTGAAACGGACAATTAGTTACCTCGAATATGGGTGGCCTACTAATATGGACAGCAAAAACACTGAATTTATCAGCCTAAATCTCACAATAGTAGAGGTAGTAACAGTATCAGGTGTAATAGAAAAAACTAAGCGTCAAAGATACGATCCAAAAAGAAAATATAAACTGGAGAAATAAAAACTGTTGTATCCTTATTGTATAACTGTTTAGTAATTAGATCATATGTATTTATATTTCTTTTATCATAAGCTTTGAATTGACCTATTAGCTATTATTACACGGTTTACTATGTATTCCACGAGCAGCCAGAAGCACGAACAACAATCACAATCCAAGCGCACACATACAGAATAAAATGTCCTTGGGAAACGCTACAAAGTAGCACATTATGAGGGACAACGAACCAACAGCATTTAAGGTCCTCTCAAGTGGGAAATACGACGTGAATGTGAAAATGGGGGCTTTTGGCACGAAAACAAGAAATTCAAATTTCCAAAATAAAATTGCAAAAATAAGACATTTGCCGAGTGAATTCTGGAGATCAAACATCCTCAACAGAAAGTTGTGAGTCATACCACACCCCACTAATAACCATTCTTTTCAACAGCCCTGCTATAGATGAAGTACTGAAAAATTTGAGCCACCTAACTGACCAAATATTCGCAACAAAATTTCCTGCTGCATATTTATTTGGACAAATTAGTTATGAAAGTCAACAATATTATGTTTTTTAAGTCAGTACAATCTTTATACTGCCAACAGTAACTTAATGAACTAATTCTACGTCTTAATTTGAAAGACACCAGGTTTCTTCGAACCTACTCCAATACCCACGAGTATTTAGCACGGATTTTGTTAAGGTTCATCATATGTGTGTATCTACATCCTAGATAAGATTTATTCGGAATTTTAGATGCAAATACATATGGGATGTAGCCCAACAGTATCATTTTTGAAGAGGTTGGATTATGATTTACTTCGTGTCCGTTATATCGTCCAGTCAAATAGACAGCCAAACAGAAATAATAGTGATTTTCTAATCCTAAATGTAAGAAACTTTATGAAAAAGGAAATTACTGTGAGATTATTTGTAGCCGAAAACAAAAACAGCATGTAATATACCTCCAATTCTGCTGCACGACTAAGACGGTTGATCATAGATACAGCATTAGCTTCTATCTCTTCTTCTGTAGGTGGATTAGAACGTCGATGACTCAACCATGAATGCCATTCAGGAGGTACAGACGATAATTCTCAATTATTTTGTGGAAAATACGAAAAGTAATTAGCAGTAAAATCGAAACCACAAAAAAAGACTTAGAAAATATTCTATTCCTTCAACGTAAAGGAATCCCGTGAAATATATAGAAATAGGGTTATCCAATGGTAAGGAATCCGCTACTATATATGCTATATACGAACGAGGAGTAAATGAATGGTAACTGCTAGGAATTAATTATGGAATATTATTACATATGTTCTTATTCGATAATTATTCAGTAACTAGATTATAGATATATTCAAATTTCTTTTACCATAAGCTTTCTGTATGACGACCTATTGGCTACTACAACATGATTTACCATCCTTAACGTACTCCCAATTTATCAGCTACAGCCTCCCATACTCACAGTCACTTTTGACTTGATATTGCCTTATTATTATTTCTCATTTAACGGTGTGTGTTCTAATCTGCTTGTATACACACCATGTCTGAACTATACGATTCATGCAGTGGAGACTGAGATTGTGTTCTAGACTGAATTGGCAGGGTTATACAAAAATTTAGTATACATAATCCCAATAAAAACTCAGAGTTAGCAAAAGGCTGCTCGTGCTGGTTAACACAACATTGGTTTAGTGCAGGGACAAGGTCGCAGAAGTCAATATTGATTTATAACGCGGAGATCTTTGACCAGAATTCGTATGAATACTTTACGACACTGATTAGGTTGTGTTGAAGTGCTTTCAGTATGCTGCTTAGATATTTAGATAAAGCATATGTGGAAGTATTTGTGAAGTCCACTATGGGGTCCTAAAGGAATATGAATTTTTGGTTATCAATAAAGGGGTGATGCGGTGTTGGATTGAGGGTATAAAGTAAGCCATATGGAAACGCCAATAAATGGCTTTAGTTCTTTAAGAAATTCACATGTCTCAGATTTAACTTTACTTTTAACCACTTGAAATTTTTTTGAGTCGATCTTTGAGTATGGTCCCGTAGATGGATAATTAAGAGCTTTTTCTTCATAGTCATTTGTGTTCCCAACCACTATTGTATTCCCTTTGTCAGCTTTGATAATCACAATTGTTCTGTCTTTCTATAATGAGCGCAAAGCTTTCCATTGTTCTTTGGAAACATTAGGTGGAAGGGATATTTGTTTTGTCAATATGTGAGACGTTTTTTTTAATGTAATGTATGAAACCCAAACGACTAGATTTGACCTTATTTATTCTCCACACACACCTAATTTCAATCCTACTACTTGATATTACAAATGTATACATTTTTCACATTCACACTCTGACACATAAATTAATACAGTGATAAAGCATACAAATTCACCTTGACCAAGAATAACCTGATATTGAAAAATTCAAATTCATTATGATTTTAACTGTACCATAATATTCTGCAACTCCGCCTGTAGCTCTTATAGGGTTACTGCCGGTCCCAAGCCCGGGTAAAGGAGGAGGGTTGGGCATGGGGTTAGCATCCCCATCCCGTAGAAAACTAACTCGCTAAAAAATGCTTACCAGAAAAAATAATCCAAACCATTTTAACTCTGCCCTGGGAGTTAGGTCTTCATTTAGAAGAATTATGACGCTTCATGGTGAAAGCCGAGTTCCTTCGGAAGCCACGAGGCCGATGCCCCTTCTAACAACCAGAGCAACAATGTTTATAGGTACATGGAACGTTCGAACAATGTGGGAAACCGGGAAGACCAGTCAAATAGCAATGGAAATGAGGAGATGCAACTTAGCAGTACTGGGAATCAGCGAAACCCACTGGACCCAAGCTGGACAGAAAAGGCTAGCTACGGGAGAGATGGTGCTATACTCCGGTCACGAAGAGGAAAATGCTCCACACACTCAGGGAGTCGCTCTTATGCTGTCCAAAGTAGCACGAAATGCACTTGTAGGATGGGAATCTCACGGATCCAGAATCATCAAAGCATCATTCAAAACAAAGAAGGAGGGGATCTTAATGAATATTATCCAATGCTATGCACCCACCAATGATAGCAACGACGACATTAAAGATCAGTTCTACGAGCGGCTACAGTCAATCATTGAGAAATGCCCAAGGAAGGACCCAACTATTCTGATGGGAGATCTAAATGCCAAAGTCGGAATAGACAACACTGGATATGAAGATATTATGGGACGACATGGACTGGGAGAGAGAAACGAAAATGGAGAAAGATTTGCAAATCCATGTGCATTCAACAAATCGGTCATAGGAGGCACAATATTTCCACACAAGCGTATACACAAGGCTACATGGATCTCACCAGACCACACTACAGAGAACCAAATAGATCATATTTGCATCAACAAAACATTCCGAAGGACAATGGAAGATGTGAGAACCAGAAGAGGTGCTGACGTAGCTTCAGATCACCACCTAGTTGTAGACAATTTAAAACTAAAGCTAAAAAAGGAACTGGACAAACAGCATTACAAAGGTTCAATACAGCCTTCCTTCGAGATATTGACAAACTCAATGAATTCAAGATAGCTCTCAACAACAGGTTCCAAGCCCTACAAGATCTACTGAAAGAAGAAGAAACTAGTATGGAGGACAACTGGAAAGGTATCAAAGAAGCATTGATTTCAATATGTCAAGAAGTTCTGGGTCTAAAGAAACACCATCATAAGGAATGGATCTTTATAGAAACATTGGACAAGATCAAAGAAAGGAAGAACAAGAAGGAAGCAATAAACAACAGCCGAACACGAGCAGAGAAAGTCCAAGCACAAGCTGAATACATGGAAGCAAACAAGCAAGTGAAGAAAAGCATTAGAGCCGACAAGAAGAAATACGTGGAAGAACTAGCAACGACGGCGAAAAACGCTGGCAGGGAAGGAAATATGAAACCATTTTACGATACAACGAAGAAACTATCAGTAAAAAACAGTAAAACAGAGAGGCCGGTCAAAGACAAAGAAGGTAAGCCAATCACCGAAATTCAACAACAGCGGAACAGATGGGTAGAATACTTCGTGGAACTCCTGAATAGGCCGGCTCCAATGAATCCACCGGACATCGAAGCAGCACACAACGATATTCTATAGATGTCAACTCACCAACGACGGAAGAAATCAGAATGGCCATCAGAAGAATCAAGAACGAGAAAGCAGCAGGACCCGACAATATACCAGCTGAAGCACTGAAATCAGACATCGAAGCAACCACAAGCATGCTTTACCTTTTATTCAAAAAGATTTGGGAAGAGAAACAAGTGCCGATGGACTGGAAAGAAGGACACCTCGTCAAGATTTTAAAGAAAGGAGATCTGAGCAAATGTGAAAACTACAGAGGCATTACACTACTGTCAATCCCAGGGAAAGTCTTCAACAGAGTGTTGCTGAACCGATGAAGGATGCAGTAGACGCCCAACTTTTCGAGATCAACAAGCTGGATTCCGTGAGGATCGGTCGTTCACAGACCTAATTGCAACACTACTCATCATCGTCGAACAATCAGTTGAGTGGAACTCATCACTTTACATCAACTTCATTGATTGTGAAAAGGCATTCGACAGTGTAGATAGGAGGACATTATGGAAACTTCTTCGACACTACGGAGTTCCTGAGAAGATTGTCAACATTATCCGGAACTCATACGACGGACTGCAGTGCCAAGTCGTGCATGATGGACAGATGACATGCATTCCAAATAAGGACCGGAGTCAGATAAGGCTGTCAACTGTCTCCCTTCCTCTTTCTTCTGGTGGTCGACTGGATTATGAAGACCTCTATATCTGAGGGTAAACACGGCATACAATGCACAACTCATGATTAATTAGGTGATTTGGAATTCGCAGATGACACAGCCATCCTATCAAATACACACGAACAAATGCAGATAAAGACAGCCAGTGTAGCAGCAGTCTCTGCATCAGTAGACCTAAACAAACACAAGGAGAAAACCAACGTCCTCAAATTCAAAGCGGAGAACAGCAATCCAATAAATCTTGATGGCGAAACTCTGGAAGATTTAAAATCACTCACATACCTAGGAAGCATCATCGATGAACAAGGAGGATCAGATGCAGATGTAAAGGCAAGGATTGGCAAAGCAAGGACCACATTCCTACAATTGAAGAACATATGGAACTCAAAACAACTTTCAACTAACATCAAAGTCAAAATCTTCAATACCAACTTCAAGACAGTTCTACTGTATGGAGCTGAAACTTGGAGAACTACAACAACCACAATCAAGAAAGTACAAGTATTTATAAATAGCTGTCTATGCAAGATACTCAACATCCATTGGCCGGATACCATCAGTAATAGCCTTCTGTGGGAGAGAAAAAACCAACTTCCAGCTGAAGAAGAAATTAGGAAAAGACGATGGAAATGGATAGGACATACATTACGCAAATCGTCAAACTGCATCACGAGGCAAGCCCTAACTTGGAATCCTGAAGGGAAGCGGAAAAGAGGAAGGCCAAAGAACACACTGCGTCGGATAAGAGAAGCAGATATGAAAACGATGAATTACAACTGGACGGAGCTAGAAAGGATTGCCCAGGACAGGGTTGGATGGAGAACGCTGGTGAGCGGCCTATGCTCCTTCACGAGGAGTAACAGGCGTAAGTAAGTAAGTAAGTAAGTAATAATATTCTGCATTGTTTCCTTTGTACTATTATAATTTAATTCGATTATTCGTTTACTCTGAAGAAGTGGCTTACATTAAGTCACGAAATGTCAGAAATACAACTTTTCTACTCATTGGGATATAACAAAAATATATTTATTATCAACTTTCTACCCAGTGCTCAATCTATTTGGAACTATCAAGTCCAACCCGTGGTGAACTTAGTTTTAGGCTTGTGACGCTTATGTATGATGCTCTTCAAGGACTGGAACTTCTCGAACTAAGAGAAAATTTGGAGTATGATTTTTATGAAAGATGCATATAAGTATTGATCGATACCAGAATATAACCACTAGGGCAACCAAATTTTTAGTATATGTACCGTCGAAGCCAGTACAGCTAGGATGCAGTTAGACTATCTAGACTTCACAGATGATGCAGAAGACAACCAGTGTAGCAGCAGCAGCAGGTCTCAACATACACAGATGAGAAAGCAAGATTCTCCGATACAAGACAACATGTACCAGTCAATTCACACATGACAGACAAGCTTTGGAAGATGTAAAAACCTTTACATATTTGGGCAGCATCATTGATGAGTACGGTGAATCTGATGCAGATGTGAAGGCACTAATCGGCAAAACAACAGCAGCATATTTACAACTGAAGAACATCTGGAACTCAAAACAACTTTCAACCAACACCAAAGTCAGAATTTTCAATACAAATATCAAGACAGTTCTACTGTATGAGGCGGAAACTTGGAGAACTACGAAAACCATCATCCACAAGATACAAGTGTTCATTAACAGCTGTCTACGCAAAACACTTCAGATCGGTTGGCCGGACACTATCAGCAACAACCTACTGTGGGAGAGAACAAAGCAGGTCCAAGCGGAGGAAGAAATCAGGAAGAAGAGCTGGAAGTGGATAGGACACACGTTGAAGAAAACACCAAACTGCATCACAAGGCAAGCCCTCAAGGTCAAAGAACACATTACGCCGAGAAATGGAGAGACATGAGAAGAATGAACAACAATTGGATAGAACTAGAAAGGAAGGTTCAGGACAGAGTGGGTTGGAGAATGCTGGTCGGCGGACTATGCTCCATTGGGAGTAACAGGCGGAAGTAAGTAAAGCAAGTGGATTAATGCTACATTAAATGGTATATGATGCCGGTGATCTATAAAGCTAAAAAAACGAGTACTAAACTTTGATTTGTTAATTCATGCAAACTATTACTAACATACTAATATACAAAAGTAAAAATATGGCTCACGATTGATTTCGGTTCATAAACTGACCTACATCCATATTCCCATGTGAACATTCTAATCCATTTTGTCCGGGCATAAGAAAAAACCTCTTTGGTAATTTTGATAAATGAGTATGTTCACTTGCTTTATTTGGTGGTGCTTCAAAATATCGATTACCTGATTTATCTACGCCAACCAGACGTGGTCGTTCGCGATAAAACATTGCTCGAAATGAAAGAAATATTTGTTTGAGTATAGACCGATTCAAGTTCGATGTTGTCATGAGTGTGCTGAAACAAATTAAATGGAAAATGTACACAAAGTAGTATCGAATTAGACTTTGGACACTAGTAAAGTTGTTGTAGCATGATAACTTGAACACGAGTTATTGTTTATAATTTATCATAAAGGAATACAATATTTGTTATGAGTACATATTTAGTTGTTAAAAAGATAAAAACAGAAGTTCGATTATGAAAAATAATGTACAATGTGGTCGACGGACAATTGCTCATAAGAGTGAACACTCAGTGTAAACTACCAAATGAACAGATCATAACTAATCAGGAAAATAGGTCCCATTCTCTAGGCGAAATGATACTTATATACACACAAGAACGAAGTTTCATGTCAAGTAATCGTAAGATATAAATTTCCGAAACACTCACGCGTGAGAGGGATCAAGAATGATTTTAGTTCTTCATTGAATGTGCAAGATATAATTCGGCAATTACTATTGTGAATTGTTCATCAATTAAGTTGAATTACCTTTCGTTTTTCAACTAACAGTTGGCCAAATTAATAGTCACGTAAAAGTTCCAAACACAATCAACACGTTCTGTCATTTTATTACCTTTGAAATGCATCTAATAGAATACAGAGAACTCCTGAAATATATAGACCTTTGACAGAAATTGGATAAAATTACCGTAGACTAAGGATGACACTGATTGAATGAATCTGAAATTGGGTACTAACAGATACTGTTCAAAAATCAAGCTTATCGTTGTGAAAATACAATGGCCCATGTAATTAAAAACCTGTAAGGAAATATGAATATATTCAGATAGCTTATTCATTGTAACTATCTGATGGGACAGATACGCAATAGAATTATAGCGAAGAACGCAGGTGAGAAAAACCGATTATATTTAGCCCGAAATTACTGTTACTTGATGAAATAGAAAAACCATACTTCATTTGCAAAATGTTCATTAATTGTTTCGGACTTCATTGTTCCTATATTTCCATATCAATTGCTTTCTGTTTCCTCTCTTCCTTCCTCGATCTTCTCAACCTTCTGCTGACAGATATTCCGTTCCTGACTAGCGTTTTATACTACTTATGTCGACGTAAGTAGCACACAACAAAGAACCATGTTTAATTAAAACAAAACCAAGACTAAAACATTCTGGAAAAAGGGATTAGGGAGTTTGATAAATAAATATTTTTATGTAAATTTCAATGTCGATAATCCAGCATAGAAAATTTTCCTTTTCAATTTATTAAAAAACATTTTAACATGTAATGCAATTAGTTCTGAAATAGGAATCACGTAAACTTACCATTTTGTATGATATAGGATAAATCTGGGTGTAGAACGTATGTAAAGGCCTAGAGCTGGTGCACTTATTTTCCATAAATTCTTTACGGGAGTAAATTGTGCCTAAACAAAACATAACAAGAAGTTATACATAGTAATTTAAAAATGAGCCTTGATAGTGTCTAAATAAAAATGGAAATCCAATAGTGAGTCTAGTTGCCATTTCCAATAAACAGGAATGAAAGTACAGTTATTGAATTTAGAATACAGATGTACATATCGTCTAGATGCATTCAACCTGCCCATTGTATTCCGTGCTTTCCCTCAGATTTGGAGGTCTTAAGAATCCAGTGAACAACCAGAAGAAAGAAAAAGGAGGAGAGTAGGCAGCCATGTCTGATCCCGGTTCTCATTTGGAATGCGTCTGCCAGCTGTCCTTCATGCACTTTACAGTGTAGTCCGTTGTATGAATCCCGGATAATGTTGACGATCTTCTCAGGTACAACAGTGTCGAGTAAGATTTTCCTACCCACACTGTCAAACGCTTTCTCATAGTCAAGGAAATTGATGTGTCGTGACGAATCCCATTCAATCGATCGCTCAACAATCATCAGTGGTGTGGCGATTTGGTCTGTGTTCGACCGGTCCTTACGGAATCCAGTCTGTTGATCCCAAAGTTGGGTGTGTGCCGAATTCTTTATCCATTTCAGCAATACTCTTGAAAACGTTTCCTGGTATCTATAGTAGTGTGATTTCACTGTAGTTCGAACATTTGCTCACATCTCCTTTCTTTGCTATCTTGATATCGTTCTTTCCAGTTTGTCACTGACACTTGGTCTTCCTCTAAATCGTCCTAAAAAGAATGAGGAGCATCTTTGCAGTTGCTTTTATATCTGACTTCAGCTGGTATATTGTCAGGTTGTGCTGTTTCCCCAGTCTTGAATTGTTTGATGACCAACTTTATCTCTTCGACCGTTGGTGAATTGACATCTATAGGAAGATCTGTGTATTCAGCTTCGATATCGGGTGGATTCAGTGTAACTGGTCTATTTATAAATTCCTCGAAGTGTTCCACCATCTGCTCCTCTGTCCTTGAATATCAGTGATTGGCCTACCTTCTTTGTCCTTGACCGGTCTCTCTGGTTTACAATATTTCCCTCCCAGTTCCTTCGTTGCACCATATAGTTGTCTCATATTTCATTCTCTGGGAACTTTCTCCGCCGTCATTACTAGGTCTTCCACATATTTCTGCTTGTCGGCTCGAATGCTCCTCCTCATTCTCTTGTCTCTTTCTGCATATTCGGCCTGTCCATTGGCCTTTTCTGCTCTCGTCCGACTGTTGTTGATTGCTATTTCCTCTTCATGAATTCTCCCGAGTTTCCATAGAAATTCACTGTATATTCTTATGCTTCTTGTGGCCCATTACCTCCTGACACGTTGAAGTTAGTGCTTCTTTGATCCCTTTCCTGTTGTCCTCCATAGTAGTTTCTTCTTCTTTCAGTAGATCTTGTAAGGCTTGGAACCTGTCACTGAGAGCTAACTTGAATTCGTGGAGTTTGTCAATATCTCGTAGGAAGGCTGTATTAAAGGTTTGTTATGCTGTTTGTTCAGTGATTCTGAAGCTCCAGTTTCATCTTGGCAACTACTAGGTGGTCATCTGAAGCTGTCAGTCCCTCTCTCGTTTGTCACACCTTCCATTGACCTTCTGAATTTACTAGTAATACAAATATGATCAATCTGGTTCTCCGTGATTTGGTCGGATGAGACCCATGTAGCCTTGTGAATGTGTTTATGTGGGAATATAGATCCTACAACCATTTTGTTCATTGTACATAAATTTGCAAATCTCTCGCAATTCTCGTTCCTTTCTCCCAGTCAGTCCATTTCGTCCCATCACATCTTCACATCCGGTGTTGTTCATTTCGACTTTGATATTTAGGTATCCTATGGGGATGGTTAAGTCCTCTCCTGTACATTCGTTTACGATAGACTGCAGCCCCTGGTAAAACTGATCTTTATCGTCTTCACTGCTATTATCAGTGGGTGTATAGCATTAGATAACATGCATTGTGAACCCCTACTTCCTTGTTTTACAGGATACTTCGGTGATCTCGAATCCATGAGTGCTTCTTTGGACAATATCAGTGCAACTCCAGGTGTGTGGAGCATTTTCTTCTCCGTGATCAGTGTACTGCAGTATCTCTCCTGAATCGATTCCTCTCAGTCCAGCTTCGGTTCAATGTGTTTCGCTGATTTCGAGCACTGTTAAGTTGTATCTCCTCAGTTAACAGAACTTATAGAACTTTAAAACAAGTTTTGGCAGTGGGTCTAGTTCTTTATTTCACTAGTTTTGTAAGATACCTGTTTATATGCATAATACTACAAATGAACCACCCTAGTTACGAGTTTGACTATTAGAAATTATGTATTTCTATATGCTGAGTAGCTCAATTGTAAAGCATTGATTGATCTTCTGGACATGAGTACAAAATTCAAAATAGAATCAAGCGATTTAGAATTCTGAGGACGTAGACAGGACAATGGTCAGATATAACCAACTGAGATCAAGGTCGACAATGATGAGTAAATATTCGAACAGCTCACTTCAATTTGAAGTTTGTTCGGATGTTATCCAGGACGATCAAGCTTGAGAACGAAAATTCATCTGCATCAAGATAAAAAACGCACCGACAAAGTTGTCATATTGAAGTTCTGTTTAAAGTTTTTAATCATTGGTAAACAGACAAAAGAACTCGCCAGAAGTTTGTAAAGTTATATACTACTTATTTCAGTAAATAAAGAAAAACTACTGTAGACTCCGAGTTTATTTTCTTACTAATTCCGGTACATATGTAGAAACGAAAGTATATTTATTGTCAAGACAATACTTTACTAATTAGTTTTGTTCAAAACAAACTACATATCTTCGATAATTTCCTAATTATCAATAGAAATATAACTGATGTGATTTTCTTTTTCTAACCATTGTATATTCAACATGAATAGTGAATGAAACATCTACATTGAATTCCATTTATGAATACTAAGTTAAATCAACTTTCATTTTCTAGAGTCGGCGATAAGATGTGAATAATTTTCTTGAATGTTTAGTCATGATGCTTTGGTATTTCAGGAGACGATGATTACCTTTTTTTTAAGAACATAGATTTCTTGATTCATAAAATACATCATACTAATTCCTTATTGATAAAATATTAAAAAAATTTAGATATAGACAATAAGATCAGATTTATTGTACATGATTTCCCTTTTTAAAGGCATCATCAAATTAAACAAACAATATATTAACCGTTACTACTATATGAATATGTTTAAAAGGCAAAAAATGTAACAAATTTCCATCATTTATTTTTTAAAATAAAAAGAAACAAAAGACCGCATATAGAGCGGAGAAAATGCAACTTCGATAAAAAGTTCTTAATGTGTACATATGTAGAATATATCAGAGTTAAGAGAAGAAATTAATAATAACACACGAATAGTTTAGAAATAATGAAAACTCATAACAAAACTAGTAAGATATCCGGGAGAGAATCGATTCTTGTGGGATTTCTTTGACTGGAAATGAAACCATAAATTAATCGGATGAAACCCTGGATGTTGGTAATGTAGGTGGAATATTAAATGGAACCATTGTAGTGTGTATGTCAATGACGCCCACCGGATGAATGATCCTAGAGAACAGTAAAAAGACATTTTTAAAAAATGCTGAAACTATTACCATAATCACGATGACAGTTCTAAATAATTTATGTTCAGCTTACTTACTAAGTAAAAAATAAATACTATAGCATCAGTGTTAAGTGTTATTAAAAGCATGACATTGCCACAAAAGATCGAATATTATCTAACACTTTCTTGATTTTAAAAGGTGAACAAAAGGGCCAAATATTATTAAAGATTTACGGTGAAATGTAATAATTTAAACATGAAAGTTCGTTGACGTTAAAATCTGATGATTGGTGGAAGGGATAGTTTACCATGTAACTTAAGTTATGGTCAAGTGACTAACTCAGGACGAGGAAAGATGTTCGTTCAGTCAGTCAGTAACAACGTAGAACTTCGTACGTACGTACATTAGTTCGAGTTGCCACACCACATTAGCACAGAGATGCAGTGGTCGATTCAAATCCCGTAGTGGTAGAGGTAATAAGAGTATAAGCAGTAATCGGAAAGATTAGTGTTTTGAGATGTTACTTAAAGAGTATAATACAGTGTTCAAGGTCTTATAATCACTAACAATCAGTTAGTAGTTATAATAATATGTTCTATGTAAATGCTTTGGTTCTTTTTAGATTCTCAACGAGCACAGAAACATCTTTACATGAAACATCTGTTTGGTGGCTAAAGAGCTGATTTTATTTTTTGATTCAACATATAATCAAGTCGTTTAAAACTGAAAATTTACACGCAGATACTGGTTACAAAATGAGTGTTAGTAAAAAGAGAAAATGGTTACTATGTAGGTATAACATTTATGAATATGCGGTAAGTATACCACATACCTGATTACTCTTTGAATTCGCTTTGACATTATTCACAGCATTAGTACTTCGCCTAGTTCGTTTGGCAGGAGGTGAGGCAGCTGATGCATTGATATCGTTTTCTTTTTGATGATCTGACTGAGCTTCTATTAGTTGCATTCTGGTTTGAGAAAGGTCTGTTTCTAACTTATTTACTTGAGCAGTGAGTTCTTGGACCTTGATAAAATAAAAAAAGTGACAATGATCACAACTTTTTCAAGCAACTATGATGTAAGCATGTCATGACGTGATAGCATACAAGCGTCCCACATTATACCTAAAAATTTAAGCACTAGGATTTGTTCCCTATATACTTCAAATCATTTGTGACCACTTTTACGACACTGAATGGATTTTGTCTGGTAGTGAAATGAGGCGAATAGTGAGAAATTTGCAATTGCGTGATTAAAGAAAGCGTTAGATAGCGTGTTAGGAGATCAGAGAAGTGATAAAAATAAGTACAACGAACATTTATTAACAGATTTCCGTGTCTTGAACAAGTTTTAAGAATGTTGATCAAGTGGATTAAGAAGACCGAACTATATGTCAACCCTACGAGTTGAAAAAGTAGTAAAATAACCTGCAACTGTAACTTATCATTTCATAACCATAAAATAACTTACGCGAGAGGTTGAATTGTATGCTGTCTCTTTTTCTCGGGCAACTTCTTCGGACAACTTTTGTACAGACTGTTGGGCATTAGCAAGTTCGGACTCCAACTTGATTAGCATAGCAAACAAAAATAAATATATTGTAATACCTATTGTATTAAATATTCTAAAAAATCAGTAAAAGGAATAAATGTATTGTATATCGGCCAAATGATTTGTGGATACAGCCAAGACTTTGTTATATATCTCGTTGCTAATGTCGATTTCGAACAATCACTTTTCCTATGGTAATTAATCGGTTAACAATGACAAAATAAATCCATAATAACCATGCCGATTTTAACTATTCTTTGATTGACTACCTTTTCTTATAAATTGTTATTGTATTGTATGTCGAAATTATCTTTTTTAGCATGTAAAAAAAACCCAGTTGTGTCACACTTTTAACTGATGAGATTAGTAAAAGTTTTCATGACAAGAACAATACTCTTTTCCCACTTATTGAAACACTGAGGGTAATTATGTTCGAGGTTTTGAGATGATGTACGAGTCATTGTATGTGTGTATTAAAGGGAAATTTTGTCACAGTCTTTACCCATTCAGAAAATACTTGACAAATTTCAGATAAGTATAAATGAATTAAAAGTTTATCGGTATCGAGTTAGTAAGGTTATGTAGTAAAGTCAAAGCTATTCACAAGATTTAATAAGAATTGGGAATAAATAGATATATTGATGCAGTAAATTCTGCTATTCAACTAACCTGAGATTTTACATTCTCATTTGCCTGTTGGGTTTGAACTGCTTCAGCCATTAAGGTTTTACAACGATCCTCCATTGAAGACAGTTTAGCTTTAAGCTGTAAAACGAAATAAAACTAACGATGAAGTGCTAATAAACAACAGATAACAAGTTGAATTGAAAGTGGAGATAAGAACGATTACATTTTAGTCAGAAAGTCAGCTCAAAATGTTCACAAATGTTAATAAGTTGGAGTTAAAAACTGAAATCTGACAACTGATTTTTCAAATATATGAGGAATACATTTCGTTAGGAATGAAACAGATAGATACTTGGGTGATGAATTACATTTCTCAGTAAAGTTGGTTGCATATAGATAATTGACTGATTGATCAAACACTAAATATGACTTTGTTTAGTTGTAATAATTAGCAAATAATAATTCGCAATCATAATAGTAGTAGAAATCAGCATTTATCTCGTTACAACCTTGACAAATCAGTCTTGTTTTTAAGTTATAACAATTTTTATTTGATAATTTTTAGTTTCCTAATAAATCAAAATAGCTTTGAAGTTTTATTTGTGAGCTGTGCGGTTTAGTTGTAAAGTTTTTATTGTTATTCTAAACAATATCATGAGCACAAATTGACAGTTTGTCCTGTCTATATGAACACTAACTAGCTGTCAAACCCCATTATGTATATTCCCTTATATCAATGCATGTGGACACAATTAGAAAAATGATAACATTGTGCATAGAATGAATACAAAGATCACGGAATCTTTAAAAGCTTGGAACTCAGGTCAATTATAAATTCATAAATACATCAGAATCAATTAAATTTAGCAACTAATTAGAAATAGCATGGACAAATATAAGATCAAGAATCAAATCAAAATAGATAAACAGACAACGATCGGTTAAATGTCAAAAATAACCAATCAATATCAATCTCGAAAGGACAAGTCATTATATGTAGAAAAATTCGAATCCTTCACTTCTACCTGAAGTTTAAGCTGATGTTGTTCAGAAGATCAAAGACAGTCTCATAATTAAACAATCTAGCTGAACGAACAAAACTCTAAAGAACAAAATTTCGAAATTCATTAAACACACTGATCATATAAAACAATATCTTATAAAATCTTCTGATAAATAAAAGGTTTATTATTGCCAAACAGTATGATTAATTCGACTTTATGAAAATAATGGACTACAATGAAAAATTTATAAAAAAAAAAAGAATATTTGAGCGAACAATTGTTTTCAATAAATTCATCGTCAGGCTCCACAGTTTATAAGTTCATAATTAATGGTGGTATTTTACAAAGGCCAATATAAGTCATATATTAATGAATATAACTGCTACAGGTCAAAAAATGGTGAACATTTGCATATGTTACAACACATATACTCTAAAATTCTTGATCTTTGTAAAATATCATAATTATGGACTTATAACTAAAAACCCTGATGATGAAGTTATTGAAAACAATTGTTCGTTCGAACATTCTATGAAGATTTTTATCAGTAAATCAATGTAACGCCAAATATCAGTATAGTATACCTGAGAAATTATATCCAGTTCATTCGACTGTTGATTGTCTTCAGTAAACAGACGCTCCTGACAACGTGAGCACACACCTTCATCTCCGTTAACGTTCACATGTGGCTCTTCGTGAGCTAGTTTAATTAAATAGAAAATATTATAAACTTGATTAAGTGGGCTATGAGGAGGAAAACAACCATTTATAAACTAAAATGGAATTCTGATTGTATGATGATGTTATATTGTGAATAGGTCAAAAAATATTTTTAATATAAAAGCTCATAGGATTAAGACATGTCGTTTATGATGTTCCTGAATGGTTGAAGCTAACAACAATGTTTGAAGAATTGATTATAACAGTTTAGAGAACAATGGGAGATTTAGAGGATAACTTACAAGAAGTTGTATATTTTTCAATATGTCTGTCGGTTATCATGGATCAACAATAAAAACTGAAGTAAAACGTTTAAATTTCATGACTCATCTACTTATATTTGTTGGGTTTTAAAATTTAATCACATTATAAGTTTTCCATCATAAGTATGTAATAGTGCAATAACTAATGAAGACGAGGAAGTTCTGGATATGTGTGAGTTTTTCCTAACAGTTAACACTAAACACACATTAATTATTCAATAACAATCGAAACAAGCATTTTATTATTGTCGAGTATTTGGAGTTCTTTATTCCGATAGAAACACACGTTTTACTTATTAGCTACATCATGAAAATCGTTATTTTTTGCTGGTGAGATGAGAGCGATAAACTTTCTTCATGAAGCTTGAGAATAATTGAAAGAACATATTTGTGGATTAAATGTTTATCATAATAGAGATAATTAATCATACATTAAAAATACCTTGAATAGGATGACTATTTAGAATACTTTCACAACGTTTGCCTAGTTCGACAATCATTTTGTCTTTCGCAATTACTTTATTTCTCAAATCGTTTAACTGTGAAGAAAGAAATTTATTGGTAGTTTGCAAACTTGTTAGGTCTGAATGCCAACGTTCAACTTCCGCACCACCGCGCACAGCTCTGCATCGGACTGATTCCAGCTCCTTTATAGTATTTTCCAGCTGGCCACGAGTATTTGCAAGCTGAGTTGTGAGCTCGGAACAAAGGCGTTCTTTTGTTTTAAACTAAGACAGGAAATAAGTTAAGAGACTATATTGACAATAATTGAACAATATTATTACTCGATTATTTGTATGACATGCTCATCAAATAATAATTTCTATAATCCGTTTTAAGACATGAACGGGATACCACTTGGTCGTCCACACTTGGAAGCAGGGTGATGCAACGTATGAAGCTGCTACCCAATGGTTGAAAATGGAAGAGTTTATAACCACTGAGCTATTGTATTAAATAACAAGACACTAGATCCGCCGGCCGGATACCATGAGCAACAACCTACTGTGGGAGAGGACAAACCAAAGAACATATGGCGCAGAGAATTGGATGTATAGCAATTGAAAACTGAAAAAGAGAGCCCACAACAGTTATGCTTGGAGAGCCCTGGTCGGCGGCCTATGATCTTACAGGCGTAAGTAAAATTTCAATTCGCAGAACTTCGATAGTACTCGTAGGTACTTGGGTGTGAGTCATATTCCAAGTGTTAGGGCTAAAGATATTACCTGGTTGCCTAAACCGAAGGTGGACTGGGATTCGAACCTGGGACTTGGTGACTGAGAGTCGGACGCACTGAACATTAGGTCGCCGGCTCACGATAAATGGATAATGCATAACTAGAAGTGGTTATTAAAATTACAAGTCAGAATTTACCGGTTAGATGTATGACTAACGAATAAGAAAGTCCCAGTAAACTAAACGAAATTATATGATTGAAGGGCGTTATCTCAATAGTAAATCTGGTCAAAACAGCCTTACTAAACATCACTCGACAAACACATCAGAAATCAGTAAATACTCAGACAAAAATATTTACCTCGGCAGACATTTTATCAACCTGTGCAGATTTAGCATCAAATCGTGATCGCAGGTCGAAAAGCTCCGATCGCTTAGCTTCATTGTCCATTCGAAGTTGATTAACAGCGCCTTGTAGCTCAATGATTTTATTTCTATCAGAAGGATCACTTTGAGGAATTATCTTTGGAAAGACAAATGGTGAGTAAAATTAATGTTTGCTTTAAACTACAATATACTAAGTTATTTTTAATTTTTGATGTTACATGAAAGTAAGTTGCAAGTATGCTTGTAATCGTAATATATCAGAAGTATCATGAAGGACTAAAGAATGTTACCTTTACAAACTTATAAATGTGCACTAGATCTACTCAATGGAACCCCACTCAGTCGGGATCAGAACTTCAGTCAGTCAGTCAGCTACAACGTAGGACCAGGCACATATGTGCATCGGTCCAGGTTGCCGTACCGCATCAGCACAACAAGATGAACACCGGATTCATAGCAGTGGTTAGGTCAAAGGTGGTAATATATAAGAGAAAGATTGCATATAGAGATATAGTACAAGAAGAAAGAATTGGTTCGTAGAAAGAAAGATATGAAGTGATTTTAGTCTCTTAGTTTAAGGGAACACGGAGAGTGTATACACCGACGCCATTGTGATCGATTCTGAGCCATGTCACCAAGAGTCTCCAACCATTGGCTACGAAAGTCACGCGGACCCCAACCAAGTAGTCTGCATCTACCAACATGGCTCAGACTAGAAGTTAGTGACTTCAAGCACTGATGCCACGTTTTGGTTTGGCTGCCCCTAACTTTCTTCCAACCATCTCCAATACCGGATAGCATTGCACGTCGTGGTAGTCGGTGTTCAGGCATACGTAACACGTGGCCCAACCATCTCAGTCGATGAAGATTCATAACCTCATCAACTGATTTACCATCATTCCCTAATACCCTGCGTCTAACCTCACTATTACTTACCCGGTGATCCCAGCAGATGCCAGCAATATTTCTAAGGCATCTGTGGTCAAATACTAATAGCTTACGAGTGTCTTCTACTCTTAATGGCCATATTTCGCTGCCGTAAAGTAAAACAGAACGGACTGTCGCGCAGTATACCCGTCCTTTTATTGATAGACGGATATCTCGCCTTCGCCATAGGTGACGTAAGTTGGCAAAAGCCAAACGAGCTTTTCGAATCCGTGCTGAGATTTCGTCAGACACCAACCCATTAGGATCAGAACTTATCGTACTTAAATGTGGCATGTTAAAACGACAGCTGAATATGATAGTTGAATTATCTTAAATTTTAACAACTCGATCATCCTTAAGCTAATCACAAACTTACATCGTAAAACAAAAAAGTAATTTGAGTAAGACAATTAATGGGAATAAGCATCGATTACAATATTTTGGTTTCACTAAAGACACACTGTCCTATGGAATCACCTGATGTGAGAACTGGTCAGTTATTTAGATTTATTGACAAGCGACAATACACTTACTGGTTTAGGAGGAGTAGCTATCGCTGCTTCTTCTAGTCTCTTGATTCTTTGTTTCAACTCCTGGTTTTCTTTTTCCATGTTCTCTAAATCGGTTTCAGTTCGCTTGCGTCGTTGATATTCTCTATCTCGTTTACTTCGTAAACGTTCAATTTCAGTTTCTAATTCAATAGGACCTACTCCTCGACGAGCTAAGTCTTCACGAGCCGTTGCCAACTCGCGTTTCAGTATACTGATTTGAGCTGTAAGACTTGAACGTTCAACATCGGCGGCTTCGAGTTTTGAAGCCTTTTTCGATATTTCCTAAAAAAAATAATTTTTAAATCACATAAATTAACGGTAAATTTCATGCGGAAACTGTAATAATTAAATATTATTGATTACCGAATAAACGTTAAGTATTCTAAATAAGCAACAACAAAATGATGTTGAAAATGAAGCGCACTGACCTCATGAATACGGAGAATCACGTCTTCCCGATAAGTCAGAAGTTGATTAAGCTCGTTGACTTGGCTTTCTAGTTCCATGACCTTTGCACGCAGAGTAGCAGGATCAGTCTTTGAAAGTCGTTCTAGATCGTTTTCCAGCTTTTTGTCATCAGCGATCCATGGAGGTAAAGTGGGTCCAATCAGACGACCGCCAAGCTATGATGAAAAAGAAAGCCAGAATCTTTTCAACCAAAGTATGAGTATAATTGAACTAACCTACAAATTACATCTGATTGGGCAGAACTTAGGACTAAAATCTTCTATTTCATGATCAAAAGATAAACTGAAACATTTCAGATACAAATAAAAAGATTACATTTGACATGCATTTTTAAATCAAAAAAGGTAGTGTATATCTGGTACAAACGTATGATGACACACTCTTCATCAAAATGACCGAAAGAAATCAGCGATAAAAAGCATAAAAATTCCTACAATTATAACTATGCCACCATGAACGAGTCGGATTAATTTCAATTGTTAATCTGTTACGGAAGATCTGGATGCATTAACTAGCAGACTTCTTTTTAATAATATGTAGCTGTAGAACATGAAGGTATGCGTAGGCTGGAAGAATTTGACCATAGATATCTTCGAAGTGTTACCACCGCATGGTTAGAAAAGTTGGGTGAGAGATGGTAAGATTGGAGTTGGCATACTAGTTGATGCCATAAAACGTCGACTGTGTAGATTAAGACATTTTATACGCATTTCTAACCACACCCTACTCCGACCTGCAACGTTTCCTGATGGGTTTAAAAAACACTAGAGACGGAGCAAACAAAACAGGGTACCAACATAAAAAGTTATTATCTTATGGTTTAAGCCATACCACAAAGAGTAGACTTAGGTTGAGGTTCACCTAATACTCGTAATTAAGGGCTGGCATTCGGGTGAAACGGAGCGAAATTGATTATAGTGACAGACTACCATCGCGTCATTTTTTAAATTTTGAGTTGTCATTTTTAATCAACCATTCCTTTTGAACTATATTATTCATGTTCAGACTCCGATTGGTTTTGACATTACCTTATATTGTATCCTTCCTATTATGCTGATTCATTTTTGCTTGGTTGATCTCAGATGTAACATGTGCCGTTGCACATTTACTCAAGGCCCTACGTTCGAGATGATTGACTGGAAATTATTTTCGGAATCTCAACCTGCGATTGTTGATGGTTTAAGTGATGGATTATTTCAGAAACGAATGCAACAGCGTAAGGCCACGGGCCAAGTGGATGACATTTAGTAATTGAAGATTTATAGTTTGGTTGAATGACTTACCACCCTCTATTAGAGCCTTATATCTTACATAGCTATTTTCTATCATTTTCTACTGCCTATTAACCTTAGAAAACACTTGTGGTTGAGTACTTTTATACCACACAGTTGTTCAATGGTCCAAATAATCAGTCTTCGGTATAAGTTATATTAATCTTACCATTGGCTCCAACGAAAGAAGTGAGTTTCGAGACCAGTAACGATAACTGGTCAGCTATGTTAGCAAGATATTTTGCTGATGCTAAGGTTAGCTGTAAATAGTAAGGAAGCAGTTACGTTGTAACATGGCATTGTGAAGTCAGTTGAATCAGGTTTGAAGATATTGGAACATCATAAGAGTCATACAACTTGTACATTATTTCGGTAACTATATCTCCAAACCATAAAGTCATACACTGCAAAGATGTAAACAATGTATTCATTTTTAACTAAGGTGGAATGTGAGTCACCACCACAGGTAGTGGAGAATGGATAAAACCACAAAATATTTTATTCGCTGATGTATATATATTTCTTTTATATAATGTTGGGAATAGTGATTACGAGAACGAGTATGTAGAAATCTAAATTAATTAGATTGTTTACTATCCTTTTTACCATAATTTTCGAGCGAAATCAAGAATAGATCTTACATAAACGACAATTTAGTGAAGTTCTAACTAACAATCATGAACTCATCTAAAGCTTAAGGTTTGCATAAGTTGTGTTTATCTTAGCTGAATTTTGCAAGGTTGAATATAAATACCTTATCAAGATCCAGCTAAGTGCAAGCATAATTAAAATGTTTTGTATATCTTTTCATCTCAATGATCACCCCCGCTAAGTGAAAGTCTTCACAAAAATTTTGAACAAATATCAACTGATTTTGCTAGGCTTATCACTGCTTATTGAGTTTGGGGAGAAACAGAAGATTTAGTCGCTTACCATACCACCACCATATCTTCTTTCAGAATGTGCCATTTCCTTGATACGTGCTTCCAGAGTCGCGCATTTCTCACCCAGCTTCTCATATTCATCTAGTTGTTGTTCCAACTAAGTTTTTAAGAAATGAAACGAAATCGTAGTATATATGAAGTGATTTAATCAGCATAAGTTCAAAATCGTTATATATATATTATATATATGCATGTGCGAAATTTAATAAGCTGGTTGGATGGTGTAGATATCATGACTATGCAAGTCTTGCGTTTACAAATTAAATGTCAGTAGGGAGTGATAAAAACACAATTGCCACCAACGACCACAGAAATAATTTATGGAGTCTGCAATAAACTTAACAAGATGATCTAAATATCTTATAATCCAGTAATCAAATTCAGATGTACATACACCCAAATCGTGAGGCCTAATATCACTTACTACTCCACTGCTTAAACGGAAGTATGATATATCTGGAAGGCTAAAATGGTAATTAAGTAGGAAATTGAGAACATGGATAAAACTTTAAGAAGCGACACGCACAAATTTGTATTTTAGAATGCTTTAGGACCAAGCGAATTCATGAAAATAATGCAAAGAAACAAACCTGTATTTGTAGTTGCTTTTTATCGCCACATAGTTCTTCAATCTTTTGCTCCAATCCACTTTTAACTTCTTTAAGTTCTGCGATACGGTTTTCAGATTTAGCCTGTTCGGATTTGAAATACTCATTAGCAGCAGCTAATCCACTCTCACTAGTTGTTTGGGAACTAAAAGAATAATTAATTGAGAAAACTAATTACCGGTCATTGACCAGATTATCAAAAAGTTCCTGTAACGCCTTCAATCGTTCTTTTAAGTCATCAGCATCTTCACCTCTAACAATAGCTATATTTAATTCCGTCTCTAGATTAGAGGTTTTATGTAACAAATTATCTCGTTCCTCCGTGATATTTCTCAAGCGTTCTTCAATCTCCTTTGTGAAATTGCTTTGTTTCACGATAATGCTATCCTTGATCTGACGAAGAGACTCAAGAAATAAAAAATAACTTACCTTTATCAAACCGGATGCTTCATCTGCACGCCTTTCAGCATCAGCTAATTTAGCTTCACAACTTTCTAATGTCATACGTACACGTTCACATTGTCCTTGTGAATCGGCTAATTCCTGCTTTGTGGCATCGAACGCCTTAAGACGCCCTTCTAAATCAGCAATCTGCAAACGACAATCCATAACCTTTTTTTTCTCATCCCTATTCTGATTGACAAGACTTCGATTGCTTAACTGCAAACTTGAAATATCAATCTTCAACTTTTTATTCTCTTCGACAAGCACCCTAAAAGGCGGTAAGAAACAAGTCTAATCACAAATGTATATACAGCTAGGAAAAATTAGCTTCCATGGGAAATATCAAAGCGTGGTGTGAGAGAGATACACAACAAGAGATTACTAGTCTAGTAATCACAATGAATTGTCCAGGATGTGGATTTGGTTCACAAAGGTTGATGAAATACACTAACCTGAACTAAACAGAACTCTCATTAACATACCCATATTGTTCCTCGTAATTGATTTCCTCTACCACAGTTTCTTCTGTCATCCTGAAAATGTAGTTTTACAGAAATATTTGGTAATATAGCAACAATTTTAGATGAAACAATGTAAAGTAAATTTTAAACGAGTTGAGACTGCTTGATAAACTTAAGAAAGTAAAATGCAAATGAAAGACGAGTCAATACTAAACGTTTAGTTTGATGGATATCGAGTGTCTTATGAAGTGAATCGAAAACGGGCTTGGCATCAAGAAATAGGCTTTTGGATCGCTATATTTTATTCGATTTGGCGCAAAGACTGCTAAGTCTATCCCTACTCCCCTCAGGATTCCGAGAAAGTGAAATGACATGTAGCACTGTATTTTGAGCAGCATAACGACCACCTTATACCGGGAAAATAGAACACTAGTTTTAATAAACCTTTATAAACATTTAAACCTGATTATCGGGACATGGTTTCACACCTCACCAAAGAAAAAGCGCAGTTTGCTTGTATAAATCACCAATATGTTAACTACAAGATTAAAGCTAAAATCCCACATTTCAGATAATGTAACGAACAACATGCCCAGTCATAGACAGTTGTTATAGGTGAAAGTTCGAAGTTTGAATACATGTATAGAGGCCTTCGTTCACCGCATCTTTTTACCTTAGTAATACACTAGAACACAGACCCTGAATAATAGCATCTAACATATATCTAACTTTTAACCATGAAAGTGTACAGCGATAATTTTAAAAATAGCTAAGCAATGGGTCTATGCCTTTCAGAAAACCCATTACGTGCTGAACGACGCAAGGGGCAAAGTCACCGTTTTCTATAATCCTGTAGAATAAAGTAACGGCAATACACAAAGTAATGTTTTCAAATTCCAGTAAATAATACAAACGACTGTAAAGCAGAAACCTACGTAGGTCATTGCTCTCCACGGATTCAGGGAGAGAAAAACTTATTTTTTATAGATGGTTGCAACTACCATAAGTCAGGAATTCGAAAAACGTATCACGAGGACACGCATGGCATTTCTTACAATAATATGAGGATTGATCAGTGACAGAAGTCAGTCAGTCATGAACAACGTAGAAGTTCGTACGTACGTACATCAGTTCGAGTTGCCATACCACATTAGCACAGAAATAAGTGATAGAATTTCTGTTACAGATATAGAATTCGTACGTACAAGCCAGGACTAAAGTTAAATCTGAGGGGTCTTTAGACTACTTTAGTGAAGTCCACTTGAATGGCATTTATATTAACACTAGTCACTGATGAGAAATTGAAGACGGAATAAGTGCTTGCAACGTTTTTCGACCGATGCTATTTAAAAGGGACAGTGGTATTTTTCCTCGCCAAGTTAATTTTATTGATGTGATCGTAAATTACGCATCAAAACTACCGTTTTCACTTAAATTGAATTCATTTCAGTTAAAGTATTCGCCAAGAGTATCGTTTTTTTAAGCAACTTATCATCGGTACTTTTAAGTACACTGGTCCTTTGTTTTTGTTTGCACTTCCGATTCTAACAACTTGGTCATTAATTTCTCTTGTCTCTGGGTAGTGTGTCGTTTCCTTTGAAAACTTCCGATTAATGGCTGGATAGTGCAAAAGCGGTCGCTAACGCCCAGTCTGTTGATACCCTGTGGAATTATTATTATTTATTATTATTTATTTGAACACATAAATATTGGTACAAGAGAGCGCCAATATATATGCGCCACACAAAACAACGGGAATTCGAAGAGAAGTAGAAAGAAAAAAAAAACTAAGGAACGCAAAAGAAAAGGAGAGTAATGACGAAGAGGTACAATCAGAAGAAATCTTTCAGTTAAGGAAGACAACCACTTTTTATGAAGAAAGTAAAAGGTTACAGCAGGATCGCCACTGGCTTCTATTCTGAGCCATATCTGATAACGTCTCTAGCCACTGTGTAGCACCATCTCTCGGACCCCAACCAGGGAGTCGTGAAGGACCGACACAAGCCAGTCCTTTGCAGCTTTCTTTCATGCCACGACACCATGTCATGCACTGACCACCTCTCCGCTTCTTCCAACCAGTCCCAGAGTCGGCAAATAATGCACGACGTGGAATTCTCTGGGACGACATTCGGAGAACATGTCCAAGCCACCGAAGTCGGTGTTTCAAGATGGTGACACCAATTGAGTTATCATCTCTGTGCCCGAACACACGATGCCGAACCTCTGCATTACTGACATGGTGTTGCCACTGAATGTCAGCAATCCTTCGGAGACAGCGATGATCGAACACAGAGAGTCGTCTAACGTCCTCAACTCGGAGAGGCCAGGTTTCACAAGCATAGAGCAAAACTGCTCTCACCGACGCGTTGTAGATCCGGCCTTTTACAGCCAGACTAACATCACGAAGGCGCCAAAGGTGGCCCAGATTGGCATAAGCCGCTCTGGCTTTCACTATTCGTGCATTGATCTCATCACTCACACCCCCACCAGCACTTATGCAGCTACCCAGATACACGAACTTCTCAACTACGTCTATCTGCTCACCGTCCAGGGTGAGTACAGGATTAGAATCCTGCCAGTCTTGTAGAAGTACTTTGCACTTCGAAGGTGCAAAGCACATACCATACCTACGGACACTGATTGCCAACTGATTAAGTGCGGATTGCATGCCTTGGGCATTATCGCACAGTAAGACAATATCGTCCGCATACTCAAGGTCGAGAAGTCTTTCTCCAGGCAACAGATCCACACCACCATTACTTACATTCATCAGAGCTGTTTCCAGAATGTCATCGATGGCAAAGTTGAAGAGGAATGGTGAGATTGGGCAACCCTGCCTAACCCCACTGCTCGAATGGAACAATGGAGAGAGGTGGTTGTATGCCCTCACTCTGCCTGAGGTGTTTTTATACAGGGCTTTTAGGATGTTAATAAACTTCTCAGGCACACCCTTCTTCAACAGACAATCCCAGAGAACAGTCCTATCCAACGAATCGAAGGCAGCCCTGATGTCAAGAAATACTACGATTGTTGGCCTTTGATAAGTATGACGGTGTTCTAACATTTGGCGGAGGGTGAAGATATAATTAATACATCCTCGACCAGAACGAAACCCTTACGTAAAATCCTTCGTTTATGGTCAAACTCACGGTTACCCGGAGTAGACCGACGGGCTTCAATGAGTTGTAAGGAACCAGAAGAAATCCAGTGCTTAAAAGCGGGACGTTTCGCAAACCCACAACTGACTGTTCCCGCCATTTTCATGGCGTCATGCAATTGCAACCAATGCTCATCTATACTTTTCGGTGGAGTGGTAGCTAGCCTAGAGGCTAGCTCGGTTCGATACTTACTTGCAACAGAAGTTGCAACCAGCTTGCTAACATCAATCCGTTGATGGCGTTCACTTCGTTGTCCACTGAAAAGTAAGGCAAGATTGGCGCAGACCAAGGCATGGTCAGAGTCCAGATAGGTACTCCAAAAGGAGCGGCAGTCTTGTACACAACCACGCCAGCGGTAGCTGATCGCGATGTGATCAATCTGAGTCCAGGCTTGAGATGCAGAGGGAGGACGCCAGGTGGCACATCGGCGATGACTGTGCCGAAAGTTAGTGCTAGCCAGAAACAGGTTGTGGTCTGTGCAAAGTTGCAGTAGACGGTCCCCGTTATCTGACCTGCGACCAACGAGTCCCCATCGGCCACCTAAACGACTCTCTTCTGTGCCTAGACGCCCGACCTGAGCATTCAAGTCTCCGGCTAGTACTACAATATCTGTCGAACGCACCCTGTGGAAAGTGGCACGCAGTGCGATGAGTGCAGAGGATGGTACGACGAAGTTTACACAAACCTAACGCCTGCGGCTTTTAAACGGTCTAGTGTAAATAGATGCGTGGTTGTGTAGGTAGTGCCGCTCGGACGCAAACAGCTTGCTATCCAAAGCTATTGTAATGGTGAATGCTGCCAAAACAAGTATTAACGAGCGTAGACGACACAACAGACAGTACTCGCTCGGTCGATACACAAATTGATGTGAAGTTACCTCAGAGAAGCTCAGAATCGTTTGACTTACATGGGCCGAAGAAAGGACAGCTTATAAAGGGGCTTGTTAGAAACAAAAGCTCAAAGGAAGTTTCTTCTGTCCAACGTCCTGAGAATGACTGTCAGCAGGAAACGCCTAGAAAACTTAATAGTAAGACTAGGTCCATTTTTAGCAGGAAAAATAAAAACCCGACTAGCCAAGTCATCAACAATAGTCCAGGATCCCACAATGTGTCTAACGTGACTGTCATTGCTATTCCAATGGAAGTTGATGAATGAATACAGATCAAGAATAAGAAACAACGTAAGGTTACTAAAGAAAAGCCAGTCCCTCAAACAATAACTGAGAAATTCAAGACTGATCATAGTAACAGTTCAGTTGTATTTCATAGTCAAGGAGTCAGTGAGCTACAACGTAGGACCAGCACAGATATACATTGGTCCAAGTTGTTTTTATGGTAAATGTACATTTAGCAAAGTTGTTTTCAACGGGATGCGGTTGCTGATTCTATGTTCAACCCTCCTCACTTTTCCCGTATTGGGACCGGCAGTAGCTCAAGAATAGCTTTGGTTGGAGTTACTCACTAGAAATACTACACCGTTTACCGTCATCGATTACGTATCCCATGAGTGGAGCGTGTGAATTAGTTAGTTGCTGCTTGAAACACACAGCAAGAGCTGATGATTGGTTTGACCTACCGCAGTTCAAGCTGAGGTGAACGAAGTCTTGCTAGATGGTCACAACACATGGTTATAAGGTGATCGACGTTTATCTTAGGACACTTAAACGCACCCACGATAGACTGGCAAAATCTGAGAATTGAATCATCACATGTGCTCTAGTACAACATGGGAAAGAAGCAACTAGGTACGACCCAGACTCCGAATCATCCTTAGATCTCATATTGATTCATTTATTTATTTGATTTAACACATAGATATTGGTACAAGGAGGCACCAAATACATATGCGCCACACAAATCTGATTCGATGTGTGAGGGCTGTGATACTGCCCGGGTGCCTAAACACTAAAGTCAATCCTTGAAATCATATGAATTAATCACCTATTTTATATCTGATTAGAAAGGCTGTAACCCGAGCCTCGCCGACAGTACAGATTTAATTATGTGTAGGGAAACCAAAACACCGACATAAAAATGTGTGCAACCGATCCAAATGAATGAGAGAAGAGTAGCAACTCAACGTACTTGTGAAAAGACACTTCTCTAATATAAAATAAGATAAGGCCAATGTGATGCTGTATAAAACCGAAAACAGACTTTTTAACCTACCCACGCTGTTTTGAGTACCAGGCACACAGTAAAACAAAACCGCAGAAGTTTATGTGACCAAGTAAGTTAACTTTCCGTTACTACAAACAGTCATTCAAGTTCTTATAAATGACTATTGAAAACCACAATAAACGCACTGACGAATATTTATTTCAGCATCTGTAATATCAACATATACAAAAACTAAATGGTTCAAATGGTTGTTGACGGAACAGAAGAAGCTTTCGTTTAACGGGCTTCTGTGTCTGTTAGCAGTGGATCACCGATATCTACAGGCAGGAACCTGGGTATATTAACGATTGTAGCGGTAAATAAATCCCCAAAATAAATAGCTCTAAGTTTTCGACATTGAATGCTGACCATATGTTTTAGTGGACTCATCTAGCTGAAGGCGCTCGGTCATGAATCCGCACCAAATTACGTGTGGTAACGCTGTGCTCAACATCTACCGCAATCGCTAGCCAGATTAGATCAGAGAATTCCGATATATTTGTAATCGCCAAATACACTCTTCCGATCTCCTCGACTCTATCTTTTGATTTCTCTGGGTGGAAACGAATTATGTTAGGTGTTACTGATAAAAGCGTTGTCAAACACTGAATACCTGTGTCATCTTCACGATAATAGAGGAAAAAAGGAATTTGTAAATCATAATAAGATGTTATCCATAAACCTTAAGAATAGGTCAAGTTTCCTCTCAAATAACTCCTAAGAAGTCGTTTGGACTAGTTCAGCCGGCAGCGAATTCTAGCACTTGACAACTCTTAAGGAGTAGAAGTTGTGTCTACAACCCGTTCTGCTGTGTTGTGTCTCCAATTACTGAGTGTTACACCTCAGGTTTGTGTTGGAGCTAAACTTAAGTAGGTGTTTGAGGGGATGTTCAGAAGTGTTAGGGATACTGTAAGCCAATAGATCACCTCTTAGAGGCCTATACTGTAATGGCTAAAGGTTAAGTGGTTGGAGGCGCTCTTCATAAAGTTTGAATTCCGTCCCTGTTATAACTGTGACTGCAGACTAGACGCAGCGAATTATCGATCGAACCAAAGACGCGTAAACACGTAAGA